ATGCACTTTGGTGAAGCCGGGGGCTTTCTTAGTCGGGGAGTGTCCTCTCAGAGGGTGCGCGGCTGCTCCCAGAGACAGACCCAGAGCAAGTGGGTGCAGCCCCCCGGCCGGGTGCCCGGGGGTTGGCACGGTGGCTCCTTCACAGGTTCGGGATGTTCGAGTTCCTCAGCAACCAGATGAGAGACGAGCAGGGGCGGCTGGACAGCACGCGGGGCCTCATCTGCGGGGTGTGCGCTGGCTCGGCTGAGGGCGGGGCTGGGTGCTGGCGTGGCCGAGGCCGTGGTGGTGGTCTGCCCCATGGAGACCGTAAAGGTGGGTGGGAGGCAGCCGCCAGCGTTCTCCTGCCCCGACACCCCTCCCCAGGCTGGGGAGGGAGGGAGTGAGAGCCAGGGATGCTGGCTTTCGGGGACCTGAGGGCCGTGTGGGTTTGCTCAGGCTGGTTTTGTAGGGGAGGAGCTGATGCTGGAAACCCCTATGGAGAGGTCAGGTCCAGCAGCCGTGGCCCCTTCCCTGCTCTGGGGAAGAGCCCCCCCAGCCAAGAGCTATCCCGTCACCCATTTTAGTACTGTAAAACCCATGTGGTCGCTTGCAGAGGCAGCTTCCCAGGTTTTCCTCTACAAAATGCACTGCTGGCCGTGGGCGCAGGCTTCCCCCATGGTCTCACCCAGTGTTGCCTGGCCACGTGGGTCGGCTCAGGTCTCAGGACCATCCCTGGAGCAAGGCGAGAGGTGGCCGGCAGCCCTCTGGGGCCATGGCATCTCCCCTCGCCTCAGCCAGGACAAGCACATCGTCTTCCCGCAGGTGAAGTTTATCCATGACCAGTGCTCCCCCAAGCCCAAATATCGTGGCTTCTTCCATGGCGTCCGGGAGATCGTTCGGGAACAGGGTGAGTCCCGGGGAAGTGGCACCCTGACCCCCTGGGTACTCCCACGCTGCGGGAGGTAGGGGATGGGTACAGGCTGGGACCGGTGGCCTGGGGAGGTTTTTCTCTGCCTGGGTGAGGCTGGTGCTCCCCTCCAACACCGACTTTTGCTGCAGGACTGAAGGGGACCTACCAGGGCTTAACTGCAACTGTCCTCAAGCAAGGATCGAACCAGGCCATCCGCTTCTTTGTCATGACCTCCCTCAAGAACTGGTACAAAGGTAGGTGGCCCCATCCCCCCAGGCCACCCCGGCTGCGCCACTGGCTCCCCCAGCCCATCCTTGGGAGCTGGGCTTGGGCTTTCCGTCAGCACACCCTCCGCTTCTCATGGCTCAGCCTCTCGTCATGGAGGAAGATGAAAGCCAGGGCAGGGGGGCAGCAGCTTGTGGCTCAGGGTCCTGGTGCTAGAGCATTACCTTCACTCTCGCCCTGAGCCCCTCAGTTATGTGTGGGCTCTGCGGGGCTGGTGCCACTGCATGGCCCCCTCCAAACACCCTGGTCCCCAGCTTAGCACGGCACAAACCCTGACCACGAGCAGCCAAACCTGGGACCTTCGTTGCGGGCGCCCTCAGGGATGCTGTGCTTCATCCCCACACCACCACTCTGCCCTCAACCTCTCCTCTTTCTCAGGGGACGATCCCAACAAAGTCATCAATCCCTTCGTCACGGGGGTGTTTGGAGCCCTTGCCGGAGCTGCAAGCGTCTTTGGCAACACCCCCTTGGATGTGGTGAAGACCAGGATGCAGGTATGGCACCGGGGTACAGTGCAGGACCACTCTCCCTGCAGCGGGCTGGGGTGACCCACTGTTTGGGAGCCATTCCATGCAGCCCCTGGGGCAGGCCCCTGATGCCAGGCGAGGTTTGGGAGATGCCT